TGGACCAATGACGTATGGTGGGCAAGGATCTCCGTGGGGCTAATCGCATCTACATTTGTTGTATGGTTTGCACTGATCACCCCAATTGTGGTCAAGCAGTTCCGGAGGCACTGTGGAGCGTGCTTCGCCATGCTCTTATGGGCGATGTGTGGTTTGCCATCATTGGCAGCCGCCGACATCCTTTTCCTGTGTCTTTGGCCAACATCATCGCCACAACAGGCATGGATAGCAAACGTCATGCGCCTAAGGGTCCTGACAGAGACTCTTCTTGAGTCTCCAGGCCAAGCGCTGCTGCAGAGCCGCATGTTCTACGTGAAAGTCATGACGAACAGGATGGATCTTGAAAAGTCGAAAGTCGCAACCCTGGCAGTTTCCATTGGAACATCCATTGTTTGCATGGGTTTGACGCTCAAAGATATCAACGATCTGGCACGCAGCCAGAACATGAGTTTGTGTGCCTGTTTGTTGGATTCCTTGCTGGTGGGCCTGGAGTGGAGGGCTCCTTTGCTACATTTGCTGAAGAGCAAACAGGCTGTGGACTTCATCGATCAAGGTCCTTTGCAGGGTATGCAGTTTTAACATTCGACTGAATTGTCAAATTCAAAACGTAAAACTGTTCCACAAGAGGAGCAAACTGACACATTCAAACGGTGCCAACAAACTGACTGAATTCTGCTACATGTGCTGAATTTTGAAGACTGTAGTGACATCACTGGTCCACTTCAGTTTCTATGTGTTTTTTGGCAGGCCCTCTCTCTGACGAGCACATAAAACAAATTGGTGCAGTGCTTGCAGATGCCACCAACCTCTCCGAATGCAGCTTCGCGGAGCAGAACTTCGGCAAAGAGGGATTGGAACAGCTTTGGCCGAACGTGGAGATTCTTTGCAAGAAGAATGCGAACTTTGTGTTCCACATCGGTGGGTTCGGTGGCACTTGCCAATATTCTGCACACAGTTTGATTATCAAGAACTGCGCCTCCGTTGAGCACACTCAGGTCATGCTGCAATCATCTGTTGTGAAGTCGGTGGAGGTTGTCAGAGTGGCCAAGGATGCCTTTCGAGATGTTCTGAAAGTGTTGGAAGCCCGGAGGGCTCTGAGAAGGCTGAGCGTAAAAGACATGGAGATCAACACAACCCTTTTCACCCACATGGCCGAAGTCATCGAGAAGCTCAAAGTTGAAGTGGAGTTGGAAGAGGTCCATGGATCAATTGTGTTTACTGCACAGCAGGCAAAAGAGACGATACCATTGCCACGTCAACTTTTTCGGGCAGCTCAAAAAGCCAGGAAAACCCAGGCAAGTGATCTCACGGTGGCCGTCCCATGGGACAAAGTGGGTGAACATGGTGAATCACAGATGATCAACTTGCTCGACTCGCCGTTACAAGCATCACACGTGTCAAGTCAAGATCTTGATTGGTTTTTTTCGACAGGGGTGGATCACATCATGCTAAAAGACCCAGAGTTTGACATCGCAGCCATCAAGCGGTGCCTCGAGAGAGCCGATCGGCTACGGAAGCGGATGGGAGTGTTCAAGTTACAAATCTCGTTTGGTATTGCTGCCGGGCAGCTTCCAACGGGGGATGCCGTTTTGGCATGCAGCGGCGCGGCCCTGTCCAACATGATCGGCTTCTCATGCAAAACTCTGCCACAAACCTTTGCCACACTTCATCAGCTTACCCATTTGGTCCTCGAGTTCACCAACCAAAACCTTGGAGACCAAGGAGCCACCGCAGTGGCCGAGAATCTTGGAAAGCTCGTGAATTTGAACCATGTGGAGCTCGATTTCACTAGCAACAAGCTCGGAGACCCAGGAGCCATCGCAGTGGCCGAGAGTCTCGGAAAGCTCGTGAATTTGAACCATGTGGAGCTCGATTTCACTAGCAACAAGCTCGGAGCCC